AGATTTCGGCGTCCACAGGTGCGTACAAGAAGGCGTTTGCGACGTCGATTTGCCGTAGTGGTAGTTTCTTCGTGGCCGCGACGGCGAGTAGGATGCGCAGGGAGGTGTGACGGGAGACTGGGGCGAAGGTTTCTGTGTAGTCGGTTCCGTATCGTTGGTCGAAGCCTCGTACGACCCATCGCGCTTTAAAACGTTCGATGGAGCCGTCCGCGTTGGTCTTAATGCGGTACACCCATTTCCCCGAGAGAATGTTCCTCCCGTTGGTGTTGGTTGTCGGTACTAATTTCCATGTATTCCGGTCTTGGAGGGCTTTTAACTCTTTTTCCATTGCTTCCTTCCATTCCGCCTTATGTTCCCCCCCCAGAGCCTGCGACAGGGTCGATGGCTCGCGCGGAGAAGGCGGCGGCGGGTGCTGGACGGAGACCCATAGTCCTAGGATCTGCAGTCCCGTGGCTGTGTGTCGAGGGGAATTTTCATTCCCGGGATAAGCTGCTTCATCACCGTCTTCAAGATCGGGTAAGAAGTTTGGCCCGATGCGTTCGGAAATATTCGAGTCGACGGGGTGTGGTGTAGCGTAGCCTTGGTCAGCGAAGTGGTAAAAGGTGTCGAGGTTGTTGCTATCGAGGGGATTATCTTCATCGAGTGGAACAGGTACGGAGCAGTAGGGGAGTGGTCCGGCAGCCTCCGAGGCTCCAGGGACGTCTTCTTCTGCTGCGTCAGCCTCGGCAGCATGGTCAGCGAAGGAGCGAAGGCCCGCGAAGCCGTCGGTGGGGTCGTCTGAGTTGGCAATGTTGTCCAGGTAATGCTGCAGCGTCAGTCGCTCGTAGAAGATAACATCACGTGATGCCACCGTATTTTTGTCTTGTATGTCGAGAATCTTCCACGCGTGAAAATGTTTGGCGATGCCGAGGTGTAGTCCCCACCGAGCTCGTTGAGTGAAGCGTCCTGCTCGAGCTGTGTGGGGTCTGTATTGTACCATGCAGCCGAAAACTCGAAGTAATTTTGTGCTGCCCCTTTTTCCCGTCCACAGCAGGTGTGGTGATGCGTTGTTGGGGAGCGATGACGAGGACAACAGGTTGTGCAGGTGGACTGCATGTGTCATCGCGTCTGGCCACAGTGTGGTTGGCAGTCTCATCCCCTGAAGCAGTTTTCGCATTGTCGTCTGCAAGGTCCGATTCATGCGTTCTGCGACCCCCTGCTGTTGGTGAGCATAGGGCAGGGACACCAGGCGTCTGATTCCTCTTTCCGCCAGATAGGTCTTGAAGCGTTGTGACTGGTATTCCAGTGCACCGTCTGACTGGAAGCTCTTGAGTTTGAGTCCTGATTCTCGTTCGGCGATGGGAAGCCATGTTGTGAAGGCTTCGAAGGCTTGATCGCGCGTCTTGAGATTGAAGTGCCATACATATCTGGTTGCGGCGTCGATGAACGTGATGACGTAGTTGAAGTCGGCTTCGGTGTCGTCTCGAGGCATGTTTAAAATGTCGCTGTAGACCTTTTCCATCGGAGCGTAAGTAGGTGCGCTTGGGTTGTGATGGGATGGGAAAGGTTGATGAGGAAGATCTGCTTCGGGGCATGTGAAGCACCGTGCGCGTGGTCGTCGAAGTTCTTGGCCGCTCGTCGTCAGAAGGGCGTTGCGTTCTAACACATCTGCTTGGATTGTTTGAAGTATCGTGCTGTTTGCAGGATGTCCGAGACGTTGGTGCCAGATGTCGTCGGGAGCGCGGTGACCGGGCGAGCGGTGGTAGATGTCGGCGTTGGAGAAGAACGCGACGACCGAGGCGGGACTTCGACAAGCTTCTCGTGTGGCGGGCATAAGTTGGTCTGCTTCGGTTGGCGGTCCTCGTGTCGCTGGTGGTGGTACTCGGCTGGGTCCTGCTGCCGATACTGCAGGTGATGGTTTTGTTGGGACACGTGCGGGTACTTGTCTTTCTTGTCTGATAACTGCTAATGCTCGTGTTCTCTCTGCTGCAGGTATGGTGTTGGAGTGCCAGAAGCCGTCACTGTCGAAGTCGGGATCAAGATCCGGCGGGTGAGTCCAGGCGGCGAATGATACGATACCGTCGCTGTCGGCAGTGCCGCGGTCGGGGACGAAGTCCAACACGAATACGCCGGACTTCAGGAGGGCACGACCGATGAAGAGGCCGCCCTTCCCGTGGTAAAGTCGGAACTCGTTGGAGTAAGAGTCGCACTCCAGGTGAATCCCTTTGGCCATTAGTTGGCTTACGCTTAGTAGATTGTATCCCAGGTTGTCGACAATGAGCACTTTGTTGAGCTGCAGTATTACGTTTGTTTCCATTGATTGTAACTGAACCACGCCTTGTCTGTTTGTCTTCAGGTTTTCGTTGTTGGCGACGGTGATGACGACGTCGCGGTTGAGGCGTTTCTCCTGTTGCACGAAGCGTCCCGAGGAGCACATGTGTTGACCGCAGCAGCTGTCCAAGAACCAGGTGTTCCGCCCGGTGGGTTCGGCGTTGGCGACTGCAGCATATGTCGGATTGACTTGAAGGCTTTGTGAGCGCGGTGGCGGTAGCTCTTCTTCGTCTGGCGCGTAAGTGGGTGGTGAGCCGGGTGCACAGTTGTCGATGTGTACCATGCAGTTGATAATGTTTGGTGTCTGTTGTGCAGATGTTGAAGAGCGCCTTGGGGGACTTGCTTGGGTTGAAGCAACTTGTGGGTCTGCTGGACGGTAAACGCGAGGGCGGTTGCAGTTGACCTTGGAGTGCCCGGAAGTCTGACAGTTGTGGCAGAACGGCGGCACAAAGGTAGTCCCTCTGTTGTCGCGCTCTTGCTTGCTGCGTCGATTGTAGGTGTTGTCGTTTCTTCGTTGAGTGTAGAAGACTAACTGCTGCTGCTTCCTTGGTTGCCTTTCTTCGAACAGGTCCATCTCCTGTTGTTCAGCGTGAAGCTCGGCGCAGAGGTGCATTTCCGAAATTCTTCCGTGGGCGCGAAGAAGTGATCGTGTGGTTCTCCATTCTGGCCCGAGCCCGGCGAGGACAAGTGTCACGAAGCTTTCTTCAGTGATTGTTCCTCCGCACCGAAGCACGCGGTCGCGGAGAGTCTGGCATCGACTCATATATTGCATTGCCTTTTCCCCGGTCTTCATCTGTATTGTTGTCAGCTGTTGCATGAGTCTGCTTTGCGTCACGCTGTCGTTTGCTTGATAAAGGCACTTGAGATGATGCCATGCGAGTTCCGCGGAGTTCCCATAACTCCGATATGTTCTGATGCTCTGCTGTTCTTGTGGTGACAGGTTCCGCAGGAGGACTGTATACGCCAGCAGCGACTGATACGTGAAGATCTCTTGCTCCTTTCCAGTGCCGTTGCTTGGAAATGGCAGGGACCCGTTGAAGTATCGCAAGAGATGCGCAGCCTCCATCAGCAGCTCGAACTCGAAGCTCCAGGTAAAGAAGTCGTGTCCGTTGAACGGTGAGGATGTTTGTAACTTAATAACGTGTGAGAATTGAGCCTGAAGACTGAGAATCTCGTTTGGTGTTTGTTGTGATGCAACTGCAGTTGGTTGGGCGCGGGGCGGCATGAACTCGAACGTCCCCGGTGAAGAATGATAAGGCGCAAAGGTAGGCGCTTGGTTGTGTCGCCCGAAGGATGAGTTGTCGAGGCTCATCGGCGCTAATCCCATGTTTCCTCCATTGCTCTGTGTTGAATGCGCAGGTGTCCTTGTCTGCTGCTGCTGGTCGAAGTGCGACATGAAGCTGAAGAACCTTTCCATAAGGTTGGGGTCCACGCTTGAAGAGGGAGATGGAGTAACCATCTCTGGTACTCTTCCCGTTGTTTCTTGAGCAGTCCCGGTCTCTGTCTGCAGTCCTGAGGTGTGCAGACCAGAGTTGCCGTGTTGAGTTTCTTGGCCGCTGGGTGAGCCCGTAGAGACTTTCTTGCCCTTGCTGTCCATGTCTTGCAATCAATGAAGTCGTTGAATTGAGTTGAGTTGCAGGTTGGTGATAGAACGTAGTTGCTGGGAGTTTGGTCTCTGACCAGCTCTCATACCATGTTGGGCTGAGAAAAAGCCCTTAGGATCTTTTGCAGAGACTAAGTCCCAGCTTGTAGAGACTTGAGACTTGGGGTAGTGCAGCGGAAGTTGAGGCAGTTTGAACCCTTGTACTAGTATGTGAGAACAAGTGATTGATTAAGGGAACAAGCATACAGCAATATATAGAAGATAAGAAAGCAGTTGTAGAGTACAGTTACAGGAACGGTTTATCGAGTCGCACAGCGACTCGATTGCCGCTTCGGTTACCATCCATGATGCTGTAACGGTCAGTCGCAACCTCCAGTTGCGACCTTTCGCATTCTTTGTCCGCCCCCTCGTGTAACCTCCGTTGACTCGCGTGCTCCCTTGTAGTCTTCCTCGAGTGTAGTGTTACACTTCAGAAACGCTTAAGTTCTTTGAGATATTTCCAACACCCTTCAACATTAGCAGCACCACCAATGCCCTTAAATCAACATTAGCAACGGCCCCGCCACCCTTCAACATTGTTAATGCTTTGTGTCTAGGCCTTGGGACTTGGTTGGCAGTGGAAGTGCCTTTCCTTTTCAATTTAGGTGTTTTCCGTCCAATAGAAGCCACAAATAGGCCCAAAAATACCGCGTAACTCGTTAATTTGTGATGCGGATCTCAGAGAGGACCAACTAATTGTCATTTTCATAAATATATTATCTTGTAGTAGCTAACTTGTTGCGTTGTCTTACAACCCTGGTACGAGTGCACTAGTGTACCCTCGCAACTCGTATTTCCAATATCGACTTCTGCCTTTACCGAGTCACTCCACTGTTTCCTCCGAAGCCCACATGCACATCCACCAGCTCCTTCCCAAGAAGTCTCGAGCGGACAGACCCCCTCCCCCTTCCCCCTTCCCCCTTCCGCCTTCCCCCTTCCTTTCGCCCCCCTCGCCGTGCAGGAAGTGCCTTCGCCAGAAACTACCGTAAGGCTGGTGATAATAACCGCACCATAAGCCTGCGTCAATTTAGCTCGCGCGCCAACACAGCATAGCACAGCCAGCACAGCCAGCACAGCCAGCATCAAGCTGTCAAGGTCGTCGTCTCTCTGGCGTTTGTTGTTGCAGGCGAAGTTCCAGCCGTCAGCCGTGTCTGCTAGGGGCATATACCTGCCCAGCCAAGAGCCAAACCTGTCCGGAAGGCTCCTAACTTTACGGCCAGGCAGGTCCAGTCAGCATGCGCGTGCGACTCCAGGGGGGTCGGGGCCTTGCAGCCCGTTGTTTCCGAGGAAACTTAGTGCCGTCGGCCCCCCTTGTTCCCGCGCGGGATGCGCGGAACTCGGGCAAGCTTTCTCGCTCGTTACGCCACGCCACTGCTACTCATGCGGCATTGTCGCTCGATCTCAAGCGCGTGCTTCCCGCGGGGTCCAGGGAAGCGCGCTCGCCGCGATGGCGCCTGGCCCGCCGCGGCCTGGGTCGAGCAGATTTGTCGGGATTCGCTGCAGTCGCCCTGGCGGACCATCTTCCACACCATAACGCCGCCTCGTACTATAAAACCCGTATTTGCTCTCGAGCTTCTCATCTTGTGAAACCATCCGGCGGACCTACGACTCGTGCACTTTCCCCTCACATTCCCTCCCTACCACCATTTGGTTAGACCATCTCTGTCTTCAGCAACTTTGACCATCTCTCTCTACTAGAGCGAGCCTCGTACATCGTTACCATCTATCCCCGGCGGCATTATGGCTTCGTCGAAGCTTCTCGCTCTCGCGCTTCTGCTGCTCGTCGTCGTCAGCCTGACGACCTTCGCCGTCGCCGACGACGACGACGACGACCGTCGTCCGGAGCGCGAGCGCAAGCGGGACGGCACGGGCAACCAGGATCGCGACCGCGACCGCGACCGCGACGGCTCTTGCGGTGGCAAGTCTGGCGGGTGCACCGGCAGCGGCGCCGGCGGCCGGCAGAAAGCTGGCGCCAGCAAGCAGGGCGGCGGGGGCGGGGGCGGAGCGGGACGCATGGGAAGCGGAGTTGGCGCGGGTGCGGGTCGTGGCGGGCGCTTGGGCGGCAGCAGCAGCGCTGGAAAGGTGGCGAACCGGCGGCAGGGCAACAAGGGCAGCGGAAACTGCAACGGCAGCGGCGGCAGCGGCTGCAACGGTGGCGGCGGCCGCTCGGGGAGAGTGAATGCCGCGAGCGTGCAGGGAGCGAGCATTCAGAGCACGGGGTACGTGGTGGCGGACAACCGCGAGAGGGATCGCAAGAGGGACGGCTCCGGCGACCAGGACCGCGACCGCGACCGCAAGCGTGACGGCTCTGGCTCCCGCTCCAGCTCCCGCTCCGGCTCCTCCGGTTCCTCCTCCTGCACCCGATCTGGCGGCTGCACCGGCAACGGCGGCGGCGCTGGGCGGCAGGGTTCTGCGCAGCAACAGGGCCGCGGAAGTGGCGCAGGTGCGGGTGCGGCTGGTGGACGTGCGGGCAGCATGAGCGGAGGAGGGGCGCGCCAGGGGGGGGCTGGCCGCACGGGCGCAGGTGCAGGGAACAGGGCTGGCGGAAGTGGGAACTGTAACGGAAGTGGGTCTGGTAACTGCAATGGGAGTGGTGCGGGGAGGAAGGGAGGGAGGAGGGGAGGACGAGGGAACAGCGACAATGATGGTGATGATTAGACTAGAATTGAGGTGGACGGGTTGGTGTGATTCCAGCTGTCTTGCTGGAAGCTAGATGGCCTCATGGAGCTGGGAAAACAAGGGAGAAGAGATGCATGGAGAAAGTGGATTGGGGAAGCAAACATTCCGAAGTTGGATATGGTGGTTCTGAGAATGGTGGGCTGGAGTTTAGCTAGAAGTTTGCTTTGTGCTTTGTGGGCTCTGGTATGGTCTTGCTTTGTTATGGTTGTTTTGGTTGCTTGAGAGCTTCTTATTGCAGCTGGTCTTGACTGATTAGTAGTGGTTTGGTTTGTAAATGAAATGGAAAATGGATTTGTCTTAGATTGAAGCTTTTGTGATGGAGTGAAAAAAAATACATACTAGCTGTCCAACCTACATTTATCAGCTACATCTACGCTCATTCGTTTCCTTCCTTCCCATTCACATGATGCACCCCGTTACACGTTTAGTCGCTAGTTTGTACACAAGAAAGTGTAGACACAAGCAGCCCTACACTACAAGCTGGAAACGGAGCACTTTCATAATGCTGCAAAGATGCAGACCATTCGTCCTAAAACACACATGGTTCCTGTGAGGCTGTTTTCTCAAACCAATCCCGAGGCAAAGATAGACCGTTATCTAGTGAAAGGAGTAGGCTGTCAGAATCCATGCGGAGGACTGTCGAGCGATCATTATATAAAAGGACAACGAAGAGGATCGAAGAGGTTTTCCTTTTAGCGCTCTCGAGCGGCGAATGATAACAGCTGGCTTCTCGCTCATTTCCCCGGCACAGACCGAACGAGAGTTTTTTTAGAATTCTAAAAAATCGCTCATTTCCCCGGCCCGGCAAAGACCGAATCGAACGCAGCCAGTAGCTCTTTCGTCCGTGTGACCGTCGAATCGACGGCGGGAATATCGTTCGATCCAGAGGGCAGTCGTCGGAAGCCGAAATGAAGCTTCTGAAGAGAAGCTTCGAGAAGGACGGTCCCGGCGTGGCCAAGGTGCGAGGGGAAATTGTAGACGGGTGTACACGATTTGGGTTGAGTGTCTGAGACCTTAAAGAAAGTCAGCCTAACTCTGGTCCCATGAAAGTCCGATCGACGCCTTAGACATTTTGGCTTTCACTCTCTAAAACTTTCAGGTGTATCTGAAAACAAAAGAAAGGGCCCGGACTGCATTGCCGTGGCCTTCACTCCGCCGTGCCATCGCTGAATAGTTCCTCTCTCATCCCTCCCACATTCCATCGGATCGGGTCGTCACCAGGGATTCATTCGCCTAATGTCTCTTCACCTCCCCCTTCCGCTTCGCCTTCCCATTGCTCCTCAAAACTCCGAAACCCCGCCCGCTCTTCCCCACCCTCCCGTTCTCCCTGCCTCTCCCCCATCTCTCCCCACCACACACACACACGCACACACACACACACACACGGACCCCACCCCCCCAGTCGTTTTCACCAGATCGTACCTGAGGTATGGGAGGAACTATGGCACGCATACAACAGCCTGATTGCTTTCCGTCCTCCCTTTCTCACCCCTTCCGTCTCCCCACCGCTCTCTCCCCTTCCTCCTACTTGCGACCCCACCAGATCGTACTTGAGGTGCAGGAGAGGCGGTCATCCCCTGTCCTCCTATGACATGCATACGACCTCATTGCTCTAGAATCTCTCTCCCCCCCCCCCCCTCCCACCCCTCTTCCCCTTCGTACCTGAGTTGGAAAAGGAACGATGGCAAGCAGACGACGACAACCTGATGGCAACACTCCCTCCTCCCGCACCCCCCCTCCCTCCCCCTCCCTCCCCCTCCCTCCCCCTCCCTCCCCCTCCCTCCCCCCTCTTCTCCTCTCTCATTGAGAGGCGGTCCCCCCCGTTTGTGTCTTCCCCTCCCGTATCTATCTCCATCCCACCAGATCGTGCCTGAGGTGGAGGAGGACCTATGGCATGCGTACAACCTCATTGCTCCGCACGACCATGTGCAAAGCACCACATTCAGGTGCGTTTTCAGGTGGAATTTCAGGTGGATTTGGCAGTCCGGGTACAGTGAGTATTAACGCAGCATTTTTGTGGAATGAATCGGGATCGTTGCAGTTCCATATGCAATTTTCAGGTAAGTTCTGCTTCACCTAGACATTCCAGATGAGCAGGCATTTCAGGTGCCACGCCAGACATACATCTTTCTAAGACTATGTAAGCTTGGAGCATCCAGTTGCCGTTGTCAGGTGTTCTTTCAGGTGCCGTTTCAGGTGCCCCTTCCAATGCCAATTCTCTAGTTTCTGACTTCTCTCCTTGCCGCCCTCCTTCCTCCGCCCCTGTCTCCCGCTCTTTTCTGGATGGTGGGATGGTTCCAGGAAGGTGCAGAAAGAGACGGGAGGGGGCGGCAGTGAGTCAGAGCGAATCAAGCTGAGGCTGGAAGTGGCGGTGGAGGTGAGATGATGGGTGGTAGTTTTGAGGCGCCTAAACCCTAATGAGCTGGGGCTGGAAGTTGAGGTGGAGTGGAGGCGAGACAATGGGTGGTAGGATTGAGGGGGAAGGGTGGTGGGGTAAGCTGATAACGTGTCGGGATTGTAGGTTCAGGGAGAGCGGAGCGGAGTGAGTGAGGAAGGGGCGGAAGTGAGTCAGGGCGAATCAAGCTGAGGCTGGAAGTAGTGGTCGAAGTGAGACACAATAAGACGCTGGGAACGAGAAGCATGGGTGGATGGTGATGCTTTGGCCCATGCCATGCCATGCCATTCGATACCGTGCTTTTAAGCCACCCCCCCTCCTCCTCCTGCACCCCCCTCCTTCCTCTCCTTCCCCCTTCTCTTCCCCTCTTCCCGCTCTGCGTTGACAGGAGGTAGAGTTAGATGCGTCTGCACACGTCATTCGAGATCGTGGGAGTTCCAATTCTCATGGCCTTCATATCTCCATCCTCCCTCGCCACCATTGCCCCCTCCCTTCCTGCCATCGGCCCACGACAGGAGGTGGATTTCGATGCGTCGGCGCATGTCATTCGAGTTCGTGGGAAGAATGTCACCGAGAATGAGCACGTGAAGGTGAGTGGGTTCTGAGGGTGGGTGAAAAGAGTCTGAGTTAGAAATGAATGGGTGTGAAGTGAAGACGACTGTTGTGTCAGTGGGGGGAAATGAATGGGAGTCTTCTTTTGAGTGGACTCACAAGGTGATTGCTGTGTTAGTGGAGAGGAGGATGTACTCAGAGATAATGCTCGAGTATGGAACTTGCATGGATGAGAGGCCAAGTTTGTTACTGCGACTCCTGTGAAACACGTGTCACCTCGAAGCAGGAACACAGTGAGCCATCCGGCATCACCCTTGTATGCACCCAACGCATCACCCCCTCTGTCTCTTCCACCCCCCCAACCCTCTCCCCTCCCCCCCTCCCCACCGGTTTCGGATTTCCTCCCTTTTCGCCTCTTTCTCATCCCTGCAGCTGGGATCGTACCACACACTGGAGCTCGACCTGCAACGGGCCTTCACGCTCACAAAGGTACTGTCCGCTGTTGTCTGTCGCTTTGGTAGATCGTACCACACACTGGAGCTCGACCTGCAATGGGCCTTCACACTCACAAAGGTACCGTCCGCTGTTGTCTGTCGCTTTGGTAGATCGTACCACACACTGGAGCTCGACCTGCAACGGGCCTTCACACTCACAAAGGTACCGTCCGCTGTTGTCTGTCGCTTTGGTAGATCGTACCACACACTGGAGCTCGACCTGCAACGGGCCTTCACACTCACAAAGGTTCCGTCCACTGTTGTCTGTCACTTTGGTAGATCGTACCACACACTGGAGCTCGACCTGCAACGGGCCTTCACACTCACAAAGGTACCGTCCGCTGTTGTCTGTCGCTTTGGTAGATCGTGCCACACACTGGAGCTCGACCTGCAACGGGCCTTCACACTCACAAAGGTACCGTCCGCTGTTGTCTGTCGCTTTGGTAGATCGTACCACACACTGGAGCTCGACCTGCAACGGGCCTTCACACTCACAAAGGTACCGTCCGCTGTTGTCTGTCGCTTTGGTAGATCGTACCACACACTGGAGCTCGACCTGCAACGGGCCTTCACACTCACAAAGGTTCCGTCCACTGTTGTCTGTCACTTTGGTAGATCGTACCACACACTGGAGCTCGACCTGCAACGGGCCTTCACACTCACAAAGGTACCGTCCGCTGTTGTCTGTCGCTTTGGTAGATCGTGCCACACACTGGAGCTCGACCTGCAACGGGCCTTCACACTCACAAAGGTACCGTCCGCTGTTGTCTGTCGCTTTGGTAGATCGTACCACACACTGGAGCTCGACCTGCAACGGGCCTTCACACTCACAAAGGTAAGCCTGGACTGGAAAGGACCATTGGTTACCGTTCTCTGGTGGTGTTTGACCAATGGACCCATATTTTTCAAAAAGGTTCTGAAAAAGGTAAGCCTGGAAAGGACCATCGGTTACCGTTCTCTGGTGGTGTTTGTTATTATGCCCCGGAGCTATTCCTTGGGCGCTGATACTCGGACTCAGCGGCTGCGGGCACTGTGGGTGGGTGGGATGACATCGCATCACACAGAGAGCCCTGTGGGCTCTCCCTCCCATCCCATCGATCGACTCAGCAGCGGGCTCCGTGGGATGGGATGTGGCCCATCAGATGTCTAAAACCTGCCTCGCTGTCTGTCTTCTCCCCTCCCCTCTCCCCCCCCCTCCAGGTGTATTTTGAGTCGACTAAAAAAACAGCCGTCCCTCCCATCCCATCGATCGATCGACTCAGTGGGCTCCATGGGATGTGAACCATCAGATGTCTAAAACCTGCCTCTCTGTCTTCTCCCTTTCCCCCACACCCCCCCCCCCCCCCCCCCCCTCCCCTCTCGCTTTCCTTGCTTTTCTGATGCGCCTTCTTTCTTTTTCCTTCAGGACGTGTGGGACTCAGTGGCCATCGACCGGCTGAAGGAGGCGTGCGGTGAGTGTCAACGTTGGTGGGGATGTGGATGTGGTACTGGGGGGGGGGCAATTTAGGGCATGCGGCGAGTGGTAGGGTAGGGCGTGTGAGGCTCTGGCCGTTGACGTTTGGCTCTGGGCGTGTTGACGTTTGCCGTGAGTGAGTGAGTGTGCCCCATGCCTCCTTCTGACCCCCCCATGACTCTTGCCCTCTGCTCGTTTCCATCCTCATGCAGACCCCTCAGCCAATGCGGACTTAGCAGTGGTGGTGATGCAGGAGGGTCTGGCCAACGTGTGTCTCATTGGGGGGAGGTGAGACCTGAGGGAGGTGAGACTCAGGGGAGGTGACACTTGTGCAAGGTGAAAAATCAGGGAAATGACACTCGGGCAAAGTATTGAGGTGCCCTGGGAACGGGTTTAGCA